ATATGCCTAGGACCGAAGTAAGTAGACTTGGTTGGGGGCAAATTCTGCCCATCTACATTGTCCTCTTATGGCACCAAGGAATACGTGGGCCAAGATATATTGATTTTTACTCCAATCCAACTCGTCTCGTCATCATGATAATTTATATTTATATGTATATACAACTCTATCTAACGCCAATTCCGCTGTTTCTACCTCTAACGCTACAGCTATTAAATCAACAATTTAGAGGGCTACTATAAGAGCGCCTCATCTAATAATAAGTTCCGATCGACACTTAATCATGAGATTTAGGCTGTTGGGTAGATTATCTCACTAATCTACTGGATTTAGTAAGATTTCGCCATACAAAAATTACACTTATTAATCTCCTCACTGAGCAGATTTGAAGCTAATCTACTCGATAATCTCCCTGTGCGACTCTGATTTAACACCAACTGTTTGTCAGTATGGAATCACATTATCACAGTTGATTTAAAGACTACAAAGTGAAAAAAAATTAGAAACCAACATAAGTTAAAAGCAGTATCTAAGGCAAGCTGTGTCATATATCTTTTACCACGGGTGGGGAAAATAAATGAAAGACAAGTCTTCTATGAGAAATATTTCATTATAATTTTATTTAAAATTTGCTTGTCCTTATATACTATATATTATATTTTTCAAACTATCTTAAGTAACTAAATATAAATGTATATGTGTATGTCCGTATGTATGTAGCACATTGTTTATGCTGCATGGTGTGGGGTTGTTTTGCAAGTGCACATGTGCATTTGTAATCAATTGCCTAAATGTATATCTTAGGTCAACAAGTTATCATATGAATACATCTTAATCTAAGGAAATATTTATAAATATAAATAATATTGTATTTTTAATTGTTGAGTGCATGCGTATAAAACAAAGTCGCTTTCTCTGTCCCTATATCCCTATATATGCTTAAGTCTTTAAAGCTACGCAACGGATTTTGATGCGGTTTTTTTTTAATAGATAGAGTGATTCGAGAGTAATGTTTATATATATAATAACATCCATTAAATATTGTAGAAATACTGTTTTTTTTTTGAGGTTTCTAATGTGATGTGGTAAACAATTACATTTTTTCCGCTTACATTGCAAACGCAGGCTGAACCCTACGAGATTTATCAAAATAATGTATTAAGTATTGTACACATTGAAAAGGTCTACAGAAAACTCCGATGGTATATGTCTATCTCTTATGGATATCCCACAATAACATTTTTTTGTCATTTACTTTTTACGACAAATAATGGCTAATTTTTGAAGCGATTTTAATCAATACAGCAGTAATCCATATCCAATTAAATATCTTAAATACATTGTTAATTTAATACATAATAGCACTATATGGCCATATGATTTAAATGAATATTTTCGAAGATATTACAGATTTAAAAAATGCGGGATGTAGCGTTGGCGGCGGTACCTGCCGGTCGGGGCGGCGGGAGCGTACCTATAAATAGCGCGTCGGAGGCCGCGGTTCTCTTTATAGCACTTTTAATTTAGCAGCGATCGGACGCTTTTATTATCAGAGCTCTCTAGCGAGGAAAATAACAATACTTAGTAAAATCGTAGTTTAAGTTGAGGTATTTCAGTTAAAAAAAAGAACTGAACAGAATAGGTGTCTTTTGTTTTTTATGATTGTGCATACGTTATATACATTTAGAACAGTAAATTTTGTACAGAAATTATAAAGTCATGTCTGGAAGACGTTGTCGTTCGAACAAAGGTCGTAGTACAGTGAATGCCAGAAGAGTACGTTTAGCAAAAGATGAAGAATCGTCAATGGAACGTCAGGCTCGGGATAGAAATAGAGCTGAGAGAGAGAGAGAGAGTATTCAGTAGAGCGTGAGGTTCGCCGCAGCCGGGATAGGGATCGAATACATAGAGCCAGAGAATCATCAGCACGAGTTACTAATTAATGGGTAAATAAAGAAAATTCTGCTATGAATTACGATCCTTGGATTTCTTACAAGGACGATCGTATAGTATCAAATAGGTACTATGTCAGTAGTGTGTGAACATTGCTTGGCATTGATATTCAAGGACGAATCGAAAGGCATGTGTTGCTACAAGGAAAAGTGAAATTAGAAGAAATTCTCCCCCCACCTGAACCACTTCACTCTTCTTTTGGGTGATCATCAGAAATCCAAACAATTCACGCGCAATATACGTCGTTATAATAACGCATTTCAAATAAGCAAGTTGTTGAGCGTTGGTTCATGACTACATTTAAAATTCAAGGGCAACTGTACCTTTTCGTTCAAGTGAATTTCCGAAGTCGTTCCAAACTCAAACAAGTACTAGCGATGACAGATATCCCAAATATCATCGACGATCGCCAGAACAGGGTGGGCAAAATGCTACCGTTCGAAACCATGATATTAATAACCGATGGATCGTTGCCTATAATCCGCTCCTTTTGAAAATGTTTGATGCCCACAAGTCAATTCAATATGTTACTAAGTACGATAATAAAGGAAGTGATCAAGCCACTTACAGCATACAACCACCAAATGAAGTATAACAAGTAAGGAAGGGCTAAGTTCGGATGTAACCGAACATTTTATACTCTCGCAAAGTCAAATGGTATACTCGTTTGAGATTTCTTTGTGGATTGACTGATATTTTCGTTAGAAGGTCAACTATAGGCACTGGGGTCCACATATTTAGTACTTAGGGGCTTGAACAGTTTTGGTTCTATTTAGACAATTTTTGGCCACAAGGTGGCATACTTTAATCGCATTATTCACGCAAAGTTTTATCCCGATACAGTCATTGTTGCCTGATTTGCATAGTGGAAAGTGAAAGAATCAAATGGAATTTAAAATGGTGTTATATGGGAAGTAGGCGTGGTTGTAGTCCGATTTCGCCCATTTTCGCCCTATGACATAGAAACATGAAAAGAACGTTATGCACAGAATTTGGTTGAAATCGGTTAAGCAGATCTCAAGATATGGGTTTTCACCTAAAAGTGGGCTGTGCCACGCCCATTGTCTAATTTTCAACGCGGCTCCTACAAAGTCATCTCATACCATCCCAGAGATAAAATTTAATGTCTCTGGCGTGTTTAGTGCATTTATCGCGCTTTTAATAGTTTTTAACAGTACCGTTATATGGGGAGTGGGCGGAGTTGCCACCCGATTTCAACTATTTCCACACCGTCAATAGAAGTGCTAAAAACATTTGCTTCCAGTGAATTTTGTTATTAAAGGATTAGCGTTTTAGGAGATATGATAATTAAACCTATTAGAGGCGGGACCACGCCCACTTAAAAACAATTTTTTTTAACTGCAGATACCCCTCCCTAATGTGATCCTGTATACCAAATAACAACCGTCTTACGGTATCAAGAAACATGTGTACCCAGTTTCATAAAGATATCTCAATTTTTACTCAAGTTACAGCTTGCACAGACGGACGGACGGACAGACAGTCACCCGGATTTCAACTCGTCTCTTCATCCTAATCATTTATATATATATAACCCTATATCTAACTCGATTAGTTTTAAGTGATACAAACAACCGTTAGGTGAACAAAACTATTATACTCTGTAGCAATAGGTTGCGAGAGTATAAAAATATCAGTCTGGACGTTACACTGCCTGTACAAGGTGTTGTTAACAATACTTATCAAGCAGCATGCAAAGCTATGGGGCTTTTGGAAGATGATTTTCACTGGGAAAACACATTAGCAGAAGCAGCTATTTGTAGTTCAGCTACATCATTAAGATATTTATTTGCCGTTATCTTGTAGTATCGTTTTGTCAAGTAACTGATTCTATGGAATAAATTTCAAGAAAATATGGCCAGTGATATTCTGATTTGGCGACAGCGAGATTTAAACTCAGATGATGTACAATATGATCAAAACATATATGACGAAGCATTATCGATCAAGGATGCCATCTAATACTACTAACTCAGATTTAACTAACAGTGCCGAATACACAAGAGAAACATCATACGACACTTTTACAAAATATAGCTCAAGATGAGCCACGATTAAACATCGATCAGAAAAAAGTATTCACTGCATTACTATCAACAATTGATAACAATGAAAGGAAATAGTTTTTCCTTGATGCAGGAGGCATACGAAAAAACATTTTTAATCTATCTACTCTTAAAAAAAGTGAGATCTACCTGAAAAATTGCGTTAGCTGTTGCGTCATCCGGCATTGCCGCTACGCTTTTGGAAGGAGGCCGAACCGCACACTCTACATTCAAGATCTCGCTGAAAATCGTCACCGATGAAAATAACAGCGTCTGTAGTGTTTCTAAACAAAGCAATACAGGAAAATTGATGCGATTTGCGCAACAAAAATTCACCTATGGGTGAATCTGCAATTATGTTCTCAGGAGATTTCCGTCAAATCCTACCAGTTGTGACTGGAGGAACAGGGGCTGACGAAATAAATGCTGTCCTAAAAAGACCCAACCTTTGGCCATATGTCAATAAATTAGAGCTTAAAACTAATATGAGTGTTTCGTTATCTTCACGTGAGAACTAGCTATTTTCAGAGATGCTGGAAAGTTAATACAAAGGGAGGGAAGGATTAACCTAGGATACCTTTGTGTTTTGATAGACAACATCCAAGAGTTAGTCAACAATGTCTATGCTGACATTGATAACATAAGTTAAAAGACAATATCTTGGACTAAAAAAAGAGCGATTCTGTCACCAACTAATGAACAAATAGACAAGGTAAATAACTTGATTCTTTCAAAGCTTGAAGCGCTGACGAAAACATACTATTCGGTCGATACTGTTCTCGATTTGGAAGAAGCTATTCATTTTCCTACAGAATTTCTAAACTTTTTGAACCCGTCTGGACTTCCTCCTCACAAAATGGTGTTGAAAGTAGGTTGTCCTGTTATTTTATTAAGAAACCTGAATCAACCTTAACTTTGCAATTGCTCGCGTTTGCTGGTAAAATTACTGAAAACTTTCATAATAGAGTGCACAATACTCACAGGATGTGGTACCGAAGAAGATGTATTTATTCCCCGAATCCCTCTGATACCATCGGATTTACTCTTTCAATTTAAACGTTTACAGTTCCGGTAAAGACATGTTTTGCAACGACCATTAATAAATCGCAGGGCCACATCTTCAACGTTGCAGGCTTAGATTTGAGCGTTGACTGTTTTTCACATGGTCAACTGTATGTCGCCCTTTCAAGAGTAAACTCTAGATAAAACATGTTTGTACTGCCTAATGACACGAAAGATGTGAACGTTGTATATAAAGACATTCAGTTATATACTAATTGTTGTAAATAAATAGGTAAAAATTTAAAAAGTACTTGTATATAAGTAAAAATGTGTATGAATTTAGATATTCCAAGGATATCAGGAAATCTTCAGGATATAGGGAAAGGGTAATTGTTTTACTCCAAATTTAACGATGCGGGCCACGGGCAGTAATGAATATATCAAAACTACTGGATAAATTTTAATAATTTTTTCAGATAGTGACATACTCTATGTATTTTATACCCGTGCGAAGCCGGAGCGGGCCGCTATATTTTTATATACAACGTTCACAGGTTTTCTGTGGCGTATCAGCATTGCACCGTGCGAAGCCAGGATGGGTCTCTTGTGATGGATACACGACGTCGTTTAACTTCGCGCTCAATTTCCGGACCTCTTTTTGATAATGGATTGCAAAAAGTATACACGTGATATTTGGAAATTTTTTTATGTCATTAATTAATTTATAAACTTGGATGTAAACAAAATAACAATTTTTTCCAAACTCTGCTCTTGCTTTCCTCACAATAATACAAGAATTATTCCGTCAATTTACTGTCAGCTTATATTAACAATTATTTTTCACTCTTTAGTTTGATGAATCTGAGGATCTGCTTAACCGACTTTAAAAACGTATTTTCTAGTTTTTAATATTATTTATTTTTCAATTTTTAGTTTAATGTGCTTTTTATAACGCTTTTATTAGCTTCACTTGTATGTGTGTAGGTGGGACTGTAACAAAACAATCAACAGTTTGATATAACACATGATTTTAAATTACATTAAACTAAAAAGTGAAAAATAATTATTAATTCTCACAAAACTACCACCGAAAAAAGTAAACAGGTAAATCTAATAAAAGCTTTATAAAAAAATAGATTTTTTCGAACTATGTAAAAACGAGTTTCTATGGTAGAAGACTCCCTTAAAGCGAAGTTTTTAAATATGACCACAAAATCGAATTAAATAACCAAAGGTTGACTTATATATGACAACATCTCGAGAATTTGTGTTCTTTTCACAAATAAGTCACGTAAGCAGAGTACAAGCAATAAAAACTGTAAAGTAATTAATAAGGAATAAAATAGAAGAAAATCACGAACAGTCCGATCTCAAGCAGTTGATTGGTTTAGTGCACAGTCGGCTATATTCTGGTAATGCTAATGATAAACACACCAAATATTGACTATGCTATTCTGTGGATCTAGGCTATGTTTTATGTATTTCTAAATGTTTACTTAAATTTATGTATACAGAAAATGTTTATACTATCGCAACATGTTGCTACAGAGTAGAATAGTTATGTTCACCTAACGGTTGTTTGTATCACCTAAAACTAATTGAGTTAGATATAGGGTTATGTATATATAAATGATTAAGATGAAGAGACGAGTTGAAATCCGGGTGACTGTCTATCCGTCCGTCTGTGCAAGCTGTAACTTTAGTAAAAATTGAGATATATTTATGAAACTGGGTACACATGTTTCTTGATACCTTAAGACGGTTTTCATTAATCCAAAACAAATAAATTGTCATAACTAAGCTCCACAATAAGATACAAGGCTGGTATTTGGCACACAGGATCGCATTAGGGTGGGGACCTAATAGGTTTAATGTGCATATCTCCTAAACTGTTAAAGCTATAATAACAAAATTCACTGAAAACAAATGTTTTTAGCACCTCTATTGACGGTGTGAAAAAAATGGAAATCAGGTGGCAACTCCGCCCACTCCCCATATAACGGTACTGTTAAAAACTACTAAAAGCTCGATAAATCAAGCACTAAACACGCCAGAGTCATTAAATTTTAACACAGGGATCGTAAGAGCTGACTTTATAGGAGCCGCGTTCAAAATTAGACAATGGGCGTGGCACCGCCCACATTTAGGTGAAAACCCATATCTGAGGATCTTCCTAACCGATTTCAACCAAACTCGGTACATAATATTCGACTCATATTTCTATGCTATAGTGGGAAAATGAGCGAAATCGGATTACAACCACGCCTATTTCCCATATAACACCATTTTAAATTCCATCTGATTTTTTCACTTTCCACTATGCAAACCACACCTCAAGGAATTTCCTGGCCTTTGATTCTTGCGAATTACAAGAGTATAAAATTCTTGGTTCCGCCCTAGTACCCATTATCGGGTATATATTGACCCTGGCTCCAACATACTTTATGTAAAAAATTCAAACTTCCGTTTGGCTTTATATAAACGTAAAATATTATATTAGATATACAACAGTTTAATGCCGAAAATGTGTGAAATCGATCCACGAATTTCCCCAGCATACATGTACTACTTATGGTATAATTTATTTCGTTAATTTGATAATTTAATGAAATTAAATGGACAGTTTTTCTTAAAATTAATGTGGTTTATCGCTGCATATGAATGAAATTGGTCTAAACCTTTGTTTAAACCTTATAACCCTAATATACTGATTTCCGCTCCTTTCGTACAACAGCAACCTCATATACCCCACATATTAAATCTAACCCCTTTGGTTCAGTTTATATCACATATACCATGTTTGAGTTAAATAGCTTCTTTTTGTTAAAGTTAACATTTCGGAAAAAAATAGTATCTATCTAAAATAGTAAATCTATGATCAATAACATAAGTAATAAGATACTTAATAATAATCGAATAATAAATGTTAAATTCTTTTGCAATATTTTTATACTTTTGCAACATGTTGCAACAAAGTATAGTTTTGTTCACCAAACGGTTGTTTGCATCACCTAAAACTAATCGAGATAGATATAGATTTCTATATACAAAATATTTCTTCTAATATTTGGTGATAATCAGTGGATAAGTATATTATCTCAGCCATCATGTTGAACTTATAACAAAATATACCAGACAACCATGTAAAAAAGTTTCTTAGAGTGCTGGACTTTGTATAGAGCAAAAATATCTTTCTAGAAAAAATCGCGTGAGATAAATATTGGTAGTGTAGTATCAAAAGGGCTAAAGATCCTTTTTATGTGGTAATAGATAAACTGCGACCCCATCGTTTAAAATGCTATTATCTATTATTTCAGTTTTGCGACGCATTTTAATATGAAGGTTATGAGGTGAACTGTAAACTCAAGAAAATTACATTTAAGTACTTTTTGGGATTTAGCCAGCGCCGTTGGCTGCTTATGAAAGGTTTAGATATTAAGACAGAAAGAAGAAAATCTACATACCTGCTCTACATATGTGTGTACCATACTTAATTATATGTAAGTTATTGTTAATTTAGCCTTCATGAGCAAACCTTTCAAAATAGGTACCATAGATCCCTGTTTTAAAAAGCGTTAGACAAAAGCAATTAACGGAGGGGTTTTCCGAGCACTTAATTTCAATACAATGAAATAAACTACTAATTTCTTAAATATAAATATAACTAAATACTCTATATTATTATGTTAGTGAATATCTATGTAATATATAGGTATACAAAAGTACGTAAGCTGTGTGTACAAAAATATACCATAATAAAACTATTTTACTCTGTAGCAACATGTTGCAAGAGTATAATAAATATCAGTACACTGCAAAACCGTATTATATACAGTGGCGAGCAAACACATATACATATGTACACCAGTATACCATAGTACCTGAACAAAAACTTGCACCCGTTATATTAAGAAGCACATCCCATGTTAACAGCAACCAAACAATCAAAGAATTAAAATATTATTTGTATTTAGTTGAACAATTTAGTTTATTATTCGAATTTTATTATGACGTTGTACACAATAAAATTCCTTAATATACATGTTTATATATTGAACAATTTATAATATAGGATCGGTTACGTATCGAAGTGTTACGCGCAGGAGCTGTCGTATCGAATTTTAGGTGTTGACGCGGCGCAGTGTAGAATTAAAAATTGAGTTGCGCGCGGGATCGCTATTACTTCGAATGAGGTGAAAAAGCTGCGCTGATCATTCCTTTTGTTAGCTGTTGATGTACACGCGCGGTGTTGTGGTGTGTTGTACTGTCCTATGTGGTGTCATCTGGTGTGGTGTATTGGTGAGAATGTGGTGGGCATTATTAGGGTGCGCCAGTTTTTCCCGAGTAGAGTGGTTATATACTGAGGCTTAGCTCATTTAAACATCCTGGGCCCCCTAGGAGAATATTTTGCTTAGTTTTTTCACATATTTGCAGAAAACGTTCCAGGTATCTTGGCGTACTGCTGTTAGCAGAGCGCGCGGTATGCATGATAATGCAGTAGTGGTAGATTCATATTTACCTGTACGTGTAGGATGGAATTTTGATTTTGAAATGGGTATTATGTGTTTTGATTTGGAAGTTAGTGTGTTAAGCAAGCAACGTTGTTTTTCATTTATTCGATTGGTGGTTGTGACGACGTATTATTAGATGGTATAATTTTGTTTATTCATTTTATTGCCGGTTATCTACTATTACTTTATTATCGGCTTATAGGATGGCGACTCCACGCCTAGCTCAGATATGGCCAGAATGGGTGCTCCTTTGAAACCTTTGAAGAGGGATCTTGCGAGCGTAAGATTTGTGATTCCCGGCTACTTTTAAAGTGGATTTATACAAGTATTACAAGTTTTTCCCATAAACCACCAATACGAGGACGGCTTAGATATATGCGATTAGAGCGACCTTTGTTTGTTGTAAGGCTTGGTGCGTCATTGTATCGCGTTGGGAGTATGGTGATCGCTTAAATTTATTTTTAAATTGTTTTATATGATTATATTATGAAAAAGTAAGCTACTAGAGGACAATTTGTTATGTGTCAATTTTTCGACTTTTTTGGGACAATTTTGATATATGTTAAAGTGCGTATGCACTAATTTGGCAAGTAGGAGCGCGCCATACATCTCAAGCTTTTTGAATCATAAATTTTGTATCACTACTTTGTTTTTTCTGCCAATTCGTGCAGTGTTGGAACATTGTGAATTTAGTGGTAGTCGTATGACGTACCGACCATTGTTTGATCGAGTAGTTGTGGCTTTGTAGAAGTCTTCACAATACTGATCTTCTGGGGTTGTAATTGATATGAGGTGGCATTTTTCTAACTCCCGAAATTTCCTTGATTGTGAATTAAGGTATTCTTTGAATTTTCGTCAACTTGAGTTCTTGATGTTCGATGGAGATGACTGCTAGGGTAGTAATGCCCTATTTTGTATTTCGCTGTGTAGCGTTTGAGTGTTTTGTGCCTTTGAGCAACATGGTGTTATTTGGCAATTTTCGGTATTGTGGTTTTTGGGATTTGTAGTTGAAACTAAACCCGTGGTTCTTTTTATACTAATATATGCTCTCTTTTGGGGTGAGCTGGGAAATGTGCTGTAGTGAAGCATTGTGTGATGTCTTTTTCGATAGTAGATGCAATTGAATTTGCTTTTACAATTTTTATGAGTATGCGTATGTGACAAGCTATTTGTAAATAATCTTTTTGATCTTATAAAATTGTTTCTTTCGTGAATTATTAATTTTTTACATATCTCGCAAGATTCTAGTTTATGCCCTCTCGTGCATAGTTCGCATGACGTATGATTGTTCTGTTCGGATGTGAACGATTGCGTTTTGTACAAGCTTCTGTTTAATTTGTTTTTGCTACTAGCTTGGGGTCTATTGTAGCTTCTTTTTAGGTCGTGTTGAACAATTTTTGTTTTAATTAGTTTTTTTTATCTACCTTTTCAGCGATTTCGTACTGGGTAGCAGAAAGTCTTTCATTTGTTGCCACGTGGGGCATTTCTTTCGTGATGAGAGCGATTGCTCCCACAAAAGTAACGATTTTTCCGGTAATGCGGCGGTGCATATGTTTACCAGTATAGGGTCCCAGCTGTTTGTGGGAATATTTTGTGTCGATAAAACCGACAAACAATTAGAAACAGTGGATTGTAGTCTAATAAATTCTTCACTTGTTTCTTTTTGAATTTTAGGCAAGTTTATTAGTGTCGTTATTTGTTTATCGACCAATATTCTTTCATTTTCATATCTTGCTTTTAGAGCTTCCCAAGCCAAATTAAAATTGTCGTCATTTAGTGCGAACTGTTTTACTATTGCGCCTGCTTGACCTTTTGTTTTGTATCGGAGGTGATACAATTTGTTAATTTTGTTAATTTTGGTTGGTTTATGTAAACGGCTGTAAACATGTCCCGGAAGGACGGCCATTCTTCATAACCTCCATAAAATATTTCTGTGTCACATGCGGGCACCTCGAGATGGATGCCTGAACTTGCCTCTTGACTTTGAATTTGTGGCAGCTCTACTCTCGGATGTGGAGT